AGATAAAAATGTTTTTTCCGTAAAATGTTGCCGTTGCTTACTGTGAAAGCGTTAAGTTTGTTAATCAAAAATCGGTTAAAGTTTTACAAAATTTGAAATAGATAATAAAACACATTCGAAATTCAGATTTCGGGCTTCATGCATTCATGCATTATTTAGTTTTCTTTTTAAATTTAATACATATCGATAATATTTGGTGGCAATAGTTTGAAAAGTGAACCAACGCAGAAAGTGAAACGACGCAAAATGCCGTTTTGAGACTAATAGCCCTTTGGGTGTAACACCCCTTTCGGCTAAAAAGAAAGGAAAAGAAAAGAAAGAAAAAGTCTGAAAGGTTTCAGATTTTATCGGTAACCCAAAATTGTTTGTTAAGGTTTTACGCTGTCGCTGAGCTCGCAGTCTAACGATCTGCTGCTATACTCATTCCTGCAAACCAACTTTCCTTTCCCCTTTTCAGCTTATAGTTACGCGCTTACGCCATGTACAGTTTATGCCATATACGCATTTACGCCGTATAGAGTTTAACAGCAAAAGCACCAAAAGTTTAAAAAATAGGATAGCAGTATATGCATAGTGTCAAGTGTTGGAATATATTTTTCTATGTTTTTCAGTCTTTGCTGAGTTTATCATATTATTGCTCAGTTTTCTTAGAACTCTTTTTTTTTTTTTTTTTTTTTTTTTTTTTTTTATAATTATCCTTTGTATGTTGACTTTATTTATTAAAGATCAGTTTCTTCGCACTTACGTCGCAAAAAATTCAGTTCAATAACAAAATCACAAAATATGTTTTAAAAACAAAAAATCTGAAAGCTTTTAGATTTTATATTGCTCGCAAAGGGCATTTTTTACTTTCTTGTACGAAGTAAAGGAAGTATTGTAATCATGAAAAATTCCAAGTATCATATTTCAACGAAAATATCTATTTTGACCGATATGGAATGAAATTTAGCGATGTTTTCGCGTGACATCTCTAGGTACAGACAGAATAAAAGACTCTTTTTCCTCAAACGAATTATAAAACTGATTTAAAATGGATTCAGAAGAGAATTTTTTGTGGCTTTTGTACGTACGTACGTATGTATGTATGTATCTCGCATAACTCAAAACCGAGTGGCTCAGAACGTTGAATTTTTGTATATAGGACTGCTATAACATGCAATTATGCATCTCCCTTTTGGTTGTAATCGGCCTCCCCAAAAGTATATAAATATATATATAAATATACATAGCCACTCTATTACTCGGCTGAATGAGCTCAGTTTTTTTTTTTTTTTTTTTTTTACGTTCTTATATGTTGGTAAATTGTGCATTTTTTGATTTAAAAAATGACTGAATTATGTTGTTCTTATCTTCCGATTTTATGATCTTAAGGCTGTTATGCCTTTAGTTAAATCTGCATGCATAGAGAATTAGCAACGATTTAAAAGTTGTTTAAGCCTAAGTCTTTTACCATAGCCGCCATATTTGTTCACATTTGATATTTTGCTGATTAGTGAATTAAGTCTTTCTGCAGCTTCACTGTCTTTTTGCCGAGTGGGACCAAAAAGAAACTTTTAGTTTTGTGCACCGAAAAACCTGCCTTCTTACCTGCTGGCCGAACTGCTTGTTTTTGCGTAGACTGTAACTTTAATTTTTTTTCTTTCAAATTTTAATGAAAATATTTTGAGATTTTATGTAGTTTTGCCTTTCCACGAAGTGAGAAATGAATTAATTGAATTAGAAATATATCTGTAATGAAATTCGAGGAAATATGGTTAAATGAAATGCAGGAAAAAATGCGTATAATTTAATATTCCATACAAGGAAGTCATCTGGTGTACATATCAGATTTTTTTATTGTATTTCCCTTCTTTCAATCCCTAGCTGAACATCATTCACAGAATTCTTCAAAAGATCATTCGTGGAATGAAGAAATCGCTTTGAATATTGAGTTTCGTAAATTTAACGTAATAACTATGTTATAATGAAAACTCTACTTAAAAAAAAAAAAAAAAAAAAAGAATATGACTGAAGTTTTTTTTTCTGACGCCTGTTTTAGAGTGCAAAGCATTCTTTCACTTCCTTGTACGAAGTAAAGGAAGTATTGTAATCGCGAAAATATTCGGGTATCATATTTCAACGAAAATATTCATTTTGACCACTATCGAATGCAATTTAACGATGTTTTTGCTTGACATCCGTACGTAAGGCCAGAACAAAGCACTCTTTTACCCAAAACGGGGTGGAAAAAGTATGTAAAATGGATTCAGAAGAGAATTTTTTCGTGATGTTTGTACTTACGTATGTATGTATGTATGTATCTCGCATAACTCAAAAACGAGTAACCTCAGAACGTTGAAATTTTGTATATAGGACTGCTTTAGTTATTATACCTTTAGTTTAATATACCTTTAATTATTCTGCATGCAATAGCTGTAGAATTATCAACAATTTAAAAGTTGTTTAAGTGCAGCTAAGCTTTATTTTTTTTTACCATAGCAGCCATATTTGTTTACATGTGAAACTTAGCATAATAGTGAATTTAGTCAGTTTCTTTCACTGTTAAAACTCTGTAGTGCCACACTGTAGCTAGCGTGCCGCGGGTTGTCCAGCCCTGGGCTAGATAATGATGTATATTAAGGATTCCAAGAATGTTGTTGTGTTTTAAATTTAGTAAAGTACGCAGTATTGTTGCTATAATTTTTATGTAATTATTACAGAACGAATTGTGTCTCTGATCATAAATAATAGAATAATAGAGGCTGATACTGATATCATAATTAACAGAAAGCGTAATATTATGAATTTACTTCTATTTTCAAGCAGCTTAATCTGAAAAATAAGTTCATTAATTTAAACTACGTCAGGATTCAAAGCATAAAGTAATTAACATTTTTAATAAGAAAATAAGAATTTTGGATATGTCACAAAACATGTGAAAATGTTTAAAATAAAATTTCATAATTTCCATTAAATCTTCTGGTTTTATTTTTTAGATTATAGTTCAGAATCAGAGTTTTTTTCCCTATCCCCTAATTCTTTATTTTTTACATAATTAACTTAAATTTTTTCATATTCCGCTCCCGGCAACAGTCAATTTTGCTATAATTGTGGAGTACTGGTAGTTCACCTGCTTTCGCCTTTCAGTAACTGAATAAGATAGGTACATAAGATTTTCATGTTTTCTCCATCTGGGTGGCATAAATATAAACATCTCTTCTACGAACGCGTCTCTTCTGCGGCAAGAGAGTTCTCAAACATTTTACCATAATTAACTGACCAGTCGTGATTTATACATATATCATGGTAACGTTCATGCATAACCCCTTTTTCCACTGAAATTGATTTCCTTCTTATTATACGTAATTTCATTTCGAATTTACTAACTAAGTAATAAAACAAACAATAATAATAAGGATGATAATAATAATAATAATATTTCTCTATATGTTACATTTTACATGGCAGTTGTCTTTAAAGGCTAGCTAAAATGGATTTAAATTCTCATTTTATAAAAATTAATAAAAAAAATATTTCTAATTTCCTTATCTTGCAGAAGCTATTATTATTTTAAATTACCCATTACGATTTACAACTTTACTGTAACTTCTTCTGTTACGTTTTCTTACCAGAAATATAAATCAGTATTTAAGCTGAGAATTTTGGATTTTATGACAGAGCGCGTTTCTGCCTCTCGAGGCCACGTTATTAAGTTTTGCCAGCTCTGATAAGATTGTAATTCTTCGAATTTAGGTTAAAAATAACATGCCGAACAAATATTATTTTAGAAGTCAAACAACAAAAATTAGTGTTATATTTGCAAATATTACTCTGATTTTTTTTTTTTTTGATTTCACAAAAAAAAAAAAAAAAAAATGTAATTCTTCAGCTTTGCGTTATTGCTGAGGACATTTAATTGTTACTCTGGTGAGAATTTCTGAGCCAACTTAGAATGTAAACTAAATCGTACCATTTTTGACTTACTGGGCTTAGTTTAAATGTGAATTTGACTGTTACTTTAAGCTACATCGCCGCAAGTTGTAGTAGTTTTGTTAAGCGCAAGAAGTGCGTTTTATGTTCAAATTTTAATAAAAAGTTATTTTAACTTTTAAGTACCTGTCGTTAACTTCAAAAAGGCACTGCGATAATTCACTTCAAACCTGTTAGAAGTCTGATGTTAGTTTATGTTACCAAAACAAGTCAAACTGTGTAATATATATATATATATAATATATATACAGGTAGACAGATATAAAGATTATGCAGTTTGATATATATATATATATAAACAATATAATGCTCTCGAAATTTTATTCCTGAACTTTACAATTATTTTTTAATTCTGCGCAAACAAATTAAAATGACGAAATTTCAAAATTATAAAATGAAATAAAAAAATACAATTTTAGTCGAAATTCCAGTTGATCATTCATGAATTATACGAACCTCTATTAAACTATTTAACGAATACTGGGCATTGTTTTATCAATCCCATGAAGAAGGCCGGAATTTTATCTTATAATACACCATTATTTCTTGTTCGAAAACAATATACCATGTGTTATCATGATCATTGCCAAAAGCGAAATTCAAAGTCATTATATAAAAAGCAAAGAACGTTAATATAAATAACCCCGCTTATTAATAAAAGAATAAAGACTAATTGTAACTCTTAACATATCTTTTTATCTCTGTTTCACTTAGCTCTGTTTTTAAGGCGTTTTCAACTTTGGACAATGTTACTTTGATGACCTCACCAAATTTCTTTTTTTACTGGAAGGTTAGAGACAGAAATACTACTCTCATCATCACCTTCCACTGTAAGAAGATAGTGATCCAATTTTCGTAGGCTTCACATTCCTTATTTTTCTAACGCTCCAAGTGATTTCATCTTACTCACTGTGGAAGTAAACATAGATGTCGCGCCAATGGGGACAAATGCATCCACCTGATTCTCATTTTTTCTGTTCCGTGATTGGTAGTAAACAGCCATGGGCGGAAGAATGGTGGATTACGTCACGAGGAAAAACACAATTTTCGGTCATGGTCGAATTTTTGATCCATCCATGACTTTCGCACCTGAGTTTTTATTTATTTCTGAAGAATAAATGTGCTGATAAACATTCACCAAAATTTCGCCTTATTTTGAGTTTCGAAGTTATTGATTTACAGTGGAAAAGTTGAATTTATATGATGAAACTATTGGTAAGTATATTAATCCTTGATTACTTGGTATGCATTATTACTTTGTTTGAAAAATATGTAAAGCGATTTGTTTGGGGGATTTATCTTACATTTCAGATTTGGAATGGTAAGTGATTTTATAATATTACTGATATTTACGTATTTCTGAATTGCTTACATTTACTAATTGTAGAAGTTTTGAATTATGCAAATGAATTGTTTATTATATATTTGGAATATGTATTTTGTAATTCAGAAATATTTCGTACTTTATAATATTCACGTGCTTGTTTATAATCTTTTCCAAGAAAATATATTATGAGATTCGTAAAATATTTATTGCCAAAACTAAATTTAAATCTTAGTGTTTTGAACATGCATGTATTTTTAACGCTCTATTTAAGAAGTAAAATAGCAGTCAACTTACGGATGTCCAACTCACAGAAAAATCTTATAGAATATTACTACAGAATTTCTTCAGCAGGAGATTTTAAATTGTTCTGCATCTAAATTTTTCATGTCGCTGAAAATATATCTAGGCTGTATTAAAACAGAAAATTGAATGACGTGTTAGCAAAGAATAGCGAAACTAAATATGGTTATGTCGCATGGATTGTATACTATTGCCTTAGACCAGGGGTAGTCAAACTTTTTATACGTACTGTCCACTATGTAGGGACTAATATATCCTTACAGCCCACGGACTTCGCAGTAACTTAATTTAGCACAACTGCAAAGTAATTTTTTGAGTGGAGTTTAGTTGAAAAATATGTAGCTCAATTTATACATTTATTTATACTTTGCATATATTTATAATAGTCAGAAAATCTATTAAAATAGTGGAAACTGCTTAAATTGAGAAAATGAAAATTAAATGCAAAAATTTTAATTAAGTATTCCTGAGATCCTTGTGGCTGATGGTTAATATATTTGATGTCTGGTTCAATTTTCGTATGGAGCAAAGAAAGATCTACTCTTTCGGAAATATTCAAATTGTTTCCTTCGGAATAATTTAAACCCCTTTTTTACTGGATCAGTTGCTCCAGAATTTCGTGTAAACGAGCGAGTATCCTTTAGAAAGTCCTCCACGTCCCTCCCCTTACGCAGATAGCCCAGTGTGCTTTGCCATAATAAACGAAATCAACCGAACCAAACTCTACAGAATTCTTAATAATTTCTACAAGTTTTTTACCATTAGTAATTAATCATGGACATAGGTAGGGAAAGGTATTAAAATAAGGTGTATAAAATCAAAAAAAAAAAAAAAAAAAGCTTGAAAATCTGCAAGACTGTCTTGCAGATTTCTTTGTTCCTGATGAAGAGAGACCTGTATTTGCTTGCCCTCAAAATCGATTGAATGTTTGATTAAATCTATTCCAAAGACAAAGTTATTGCTTTGCTAATTCTTTGTTTGACTTGTGTTTCTCTTCTGTTTCAAAAGAAACTGTGTAAATATATAGAAAGTGATATAGCCGGATAAACACTAAAAAAACACTAAAAAACTAAAACACTAAAACAATGTACAGAAGTAAGCTTTCACGTGTGTATATATGCATACATCCATGTATGTGTAAGTGTGTTTTGATATTCCTTGATCTTCATCATCGGACAAAGACTTCTACCGCCCACCATGAAAGCTTAAATCGCCCACTAACGAGTGGTAGAGGCCAGGTTGACTAACTCTGCCTTAGAAGATGGATCAGCAGTATTTATCTGCGTTGGGCGAAAACTGGAAACCAATATACTTCACTGACCGAAAAATCAAATAATTTTTATTCATTGAATTAGAATTTAATATTTTCGACATAGGTTTAGGATTTTTGAAAATTTGTTTTACTTTTTAGTGGAAATACTTTTAATATATATATATATACTGAAAGTATCAAATATATATATGTAAATATATGAAGGAAAATATTATACTAGAACTAGAATTATACTAGAAATTCAATTAAAAACATGAATATTAAAATATTTTTGACAGTACTTTAATTAGATTTTTAAATTAGTATTTTCTAAATCTCTGTTGCTTTAAAGCTTTTAATACAAATATAATATATAAATATAATAAAATTCTAATTAAAATACTGACTAAAAACATTTTTAATACCCATTGTTTTAATTGAATTTCTGTTCCTTGGAGATGGTATATGAAAAGTTTTTTAATTATAAATTATTGATTTATTACTTTGCAGTTTTAACGCCGCAGGTCATTGGCTTTTTAATTTACACATTACTTATATACAGGGTTTCCCGTAAATGTTGCGGCAAACTGCTAGGGAAGTTAGGGCACATCATAAGTATTAAGAATTGCATAGAAAACCATGCCCAGAAACGTCACTGCACGCCACCAAGAGGTGCTGTGCAAGAGATTGCTAGTGGAGAGTGAGGATTGTCTCATTCGAACGGTAGGCACCATACGAAGAGCATGAATCGCTATACGAACGGAGAGCTTGCAGACATGAACTTAGTGTATGGAACAACTGAGGATAATGGACGGAACGCTGCACGCATTTATCTAGAACGCTTACCCTACAGACATCAACCACATCACAGTTTGTTTGAACATCTGCATCAAAATTTGTGCGACTACGGGCCATTAAGAAGTTGCAGGACAAGTGAGGGCAGGCTACGATCGACTCGCTAGGTCGTTAGGGAAGAAAGTGTGTTGGATACGGTGGAGAATAATCTAAGAACCAGCATACGTGCCATTGCCTCTTGATTAAGAATGTCTCGTTCCAGAGTCCAGCGTGTCTTGAACACCGAGTCTTTCAACGCCTTCCGTCTCCAAAGGGTTCAGTTACTGCTCCCCGATGACCATCCTGAACGTGTGCGTTTCGCACCGTGGTTTCTGCAAGAAAGTGTCCGTGATGTTAATTTCCCAGCTTATGTGTTGTTTACGGACGAGGCCACATTCGATAGGGATGGCGTATTTAATCACCACTGTGGTTTCTTTCCGTTGGTTGTGGTGGCAAAAGTATATGTCACATGTTGTGAAAAAATATGAATATAGTGGCAACTTACCCCAAGACAGGATCCGGGTCAATAGCCCGCCGTGACGAGAGAGTGACAAACACGTGAAAACAGATTTAATTCTTACTTTATTGAATACTACTAATGTTGAAGAGGTATTCTTTTTTTTTTTTTTTTTGAATCCGTTGTGTCACATGGCGATATGAGGCTTCCTCACTACTTATTTTTCTAAGTGAATCAATGCTTCCACAGAGCCCTTCGAAAACGTGGTATATTGCAGCTCAATCACATGCAAGTGCTCTTCATCGAGATGCCGGGCGAAAAAGTCAAGCCCGGGAAGAAAGAGATCAGCTTAAATTTTGTAGCTAAAGATCAGAAAGAAAACATGCTTCCTTCATACACACAGGGAGACCAAGAAAGCTTGCACGATAAATTCCATAAGTTTGCATTTCACTGCACTATTACCGTCTTTTCCCACGCACTATCTCCATCTCGCACCTTCACAATCTCCTCTTTTCCAAGTGGACAAAATTACCGCTTTTTATAAAGTTCCACAGTTATACTCACAGTTAAGTTTTGCAGTTAATGAAAAAAAATCCAGCGTCAGAAGGCAACCAATCCCAAAATACCTTCAGCTACACAGGAAAACAGAGTGAAGTGGCTAGTTGTCTGATGCAATACTTTCCTCCGCTTACAACAGTTGTCTGATGAAATCCGTTCCTCAGCTTACAACACAAGTTGGTGAAAAAAAGGAAACTGTCACCAATGCAATCTGATGCAAACATCTAATTACTGCCATAACGTTGTAAATAATTAATTCAATGTGACCTCGTCACAACCACAATCAGCATTTGTGGGCTCAAGAAATCGCCCATGGTGTACGGCACCACTTGGCACAACTCTTCAAAGTTAATGTGTGGGCGAGTTTGGTCGGCGACTGCTTAATCGGACCGCACCTTTTACCATTCAGGTTCAATGCCGTGGATTACCTGATCTTTCTGGAGCAGGTTCTTCCCGGCTTGCTTGACGATATTCCACCAAATGTCACGCGCAACATGTGGTTCCAACATGGTGGAGCACATGCTCATTTTGGATTCGATGTTCGTAGCCATTTTGAACAGATCATTCCCGCATCAATGGATTAGGCGTGGTGGACCGGTTCCTTGGACCCCACCCTCACCGGATTTATCAATCCTTGATTTCTTTTGTGGGAAATCATCGAAAGTGTCGTGTGTCACGATCCTGTTGTGTCCGAAATGGATCTTGTGGCAAGAATTGCCTGCGCAGCTGCTTAATCAAAGAAACTCCCGATGTGTTTGAACATGTCCAGCAATCAATAGTCTGTCGGTTAACGCATGTTTTGGGGTCTGATGGTGCAAACTTCGAGCATCCGTTGTAACATTAAACCTGTCGTATGCCATTTATATTTATGTCCAATACATGTTTCAAATTAATCACTCTCTTGTTTTTTTCCTTTCCCATCCTCTACCCCTACTACCACTTACCCCTGACATTTCCAAGCATGGGTTCGTATGCAACTCTTAATCCTTATGATGTGCCCTACCTTCCCCAAAAGTTTGTCGCAACATTTACGGGACAACCTGTATATGTTTTAAAAATTAAGCAGTTGGTTCAATTTAATTAATATGGGATACCTGTACTTCATTCTAACAAAATTGTAGTGCGCATAAGACGCTCGTCCGTATGTGAACCAAATATTGCGAATCCTGACTTGCTTTTCTCAATAATAATGTTATTTTGAATCCGGACATGTTTGCCTTGCCAGGTTTCTTCGCTACTCATCTATTACGCCACCGCTAAGCTCCAAATCACTCATTTTATATCATGACATTTCTAGTCGGACAGGATATTTGTGTACCTGCTGCCTAGAACTCCAATGGGTAAAATATCTGAAAGTTCATCGTTCTTAAAGTTAGATATCATCGAGGATCCAAATATGGTACTTACTCCATTTTGCCAATTCTTCAGAAAAAGTGCGTAGAACTAATTCCTAATGCAGTGCTTCCAAAATTTGTGCTTTCATTACAATAAAATGGCGCAGCCGCTTTTTGACCCTAGGCGTGGAACTCCCAGTGCAGTTTATTTCCACATCGTTTAACGAATGGATAAAATGAAAGAGTAAACTGTTCATCTAAACTCCCAATGCAGAGTATCCAATCAATCTATCACCGTTTAAATAATGAATAAATGAAAAAGGAAGCTATTCATCTGAATTCGCAGTCAGGCAAAGGTCGCTGTAACATTGAAATATAGTGTGTCAACAAGTATGGAAATGATTTACAGCGTCATCAAAAGTGGTATTGAGGTGTGATTAATTTCTTCGGTTCTAAATTTATTATTCAAAGTTGTTTCCATCCAGAAAATTAAGTGCCGATATTCCGAAAATGCGTTTTGATGTTACGTGATAAAAGTTTTTCTCCAACAGCATCATTATAAATAACTTGCTCAATACTAAAAGTGCGGTGTTTTCTTATAAAATGATTTTCATTCGATGAATATAAAAAACAAATGTGGCACTGCTTTAGCAAAAAATCAAAATGGATGGACGCTCTAAGCTTCAAGTATATACGCAACTAGTATTTCTACGCATTTACGTCTCAGTGTTCTTATTTCAGTGCCTCTAAAAGTGTTCTGTCATTACATTCTTCGGCCAGTTCTAATTAGGAAGAAATCTACATGGGTTTGTTATTTTGTGTTCACAGTGAATCATGGGAAAAGTCCTGTTTCACCGAAAATTTCAATGCAAGTTTGTGCCGCATTTATAATTAAATCTTTCATCTACGTCTCAGTTTCATTATATATATATCATAATAAAAATTTGATTGGCACAAACATTCGATTTTATGAGAATGAAATGCACGTGAAATAAAGAAGCATGTAATCATTTGTATTTTATTATATTTATTCAATTATTGAAGATATATGGAATATAATAAAGATTACAGTTTAATCTTCGCGTTTAGAGCCTATCCTTTAATTTATTTGAAGTAACAAATTCGTTACATTCTACCATTCCGAGCTGGAGGAAGTCCACCAGCGATCAAAGGATAATATCGCTGAATCTTGGTAGTTTGGTAGTCAGGTTCAAATACGGGTGACCGAGCTGGCTATGCGGGAGTTTTCATGGTATTTTATTCTTCATGTTTAACTTGAATAAGAGTCAGCTTCCCTTAAAAAGTCTTTCCATGAAGTTGTCTCTTCCTTCAGTAGATAGGCCTTGAACACTTTGTTGTTGTTGCCTTGTCCATATTACATGGAACAATGGTTGCCGTATTAAATATTCTTAAAGGATCAGAAATATCTTATGAAATATAACTACAAAGCAAATATGTTACTGAATTAAAAATGAGGTTAGGAAATCACGTAAAAAAGTAAAAATTAAAAGTTTATTTCAATTATAATACCTGCAGTATTATTATAGATTATGATTTGAAACACCATCAATGCTTAGAATGTAGAGTACAGTCTTTTGGTATATGATACATAGTACGCATTTCTCCTCATAGAAAATCAGCGAATGTGTGCTTTGCCATAATACAAATAATCAAATTAAATCCAATCAAGACTTGAGGTTGTGAAAAGAAAAATCCTTACTTATATACCTACTGAAGCAAGCAAAGATCTTGCTCAAAGTAAAGAAATATTAAATCTTAAAATTTACTCTAGTTTTGCAGGACAGATGTCTCCATTTTTAGAAAATATGAATCAAGTCACTTCTCTTCAAAAATTAAAAATATTCTATTAAATACTTAAGAAGCGGTGGGGACTAGAGTCAGATTCTTTTGAAATACATCCTTTGTCAGAAAAGTTCCAGGACAAAAGTCGTAAAAAATAGAAAATCGCATTTATCAAGTAATGATCCTAGCTGCTATCAAAGTAGTCCTTTGGTTACCTATACACAACTGCCAACGTTTCTGTAGGTCTTGTAAGCAAACAGAGAAATCAGAGGCGTAGCTAGGGTTTTCAGCGCCCGGGGACAATTGAAGAATTTCCGCCTCTTTCTGTGTGCCAAGAATGGAAAACATTTCATTTTAAAATTTTCTTAACATCAAATTTGCGCCCCCTGGATGGTGCGCCCGGGGACAGATGTCCCCCCTTGCCCCACCCTAGCTACGCCACTGAGAGAAATCTTTAATTGCGATGCTTGCAATCTCATTTGTCACAGTCCGTTGGATGTCTGCAATAATCTTGATGAAGCTTTCCTTTTAGTCACCTTTTCACCCACGGAAACAAGAAAAAATCACAATAATCTTTGACACAAATGTAAAATCGCACTTGGCTCTATCCAATAGTTCAGCAGGAAACCTTTGTCTTTCCTCTTTCTGTCCATCTGTTAGTGAATGAGAGACGATTCTTGCATTAAGTTTCTGTTTCCCTAAATCTGCGCGTAAAATCTTGTGACACACATCACAATTCAAATTCAGTTCTACTAATATCGTACGCAAAGTCACATGACTGTCTTCTTGCAATAACTGCCGTACACATCCACGTTTATATCGGTATGTGCTATAGACTGGGATCGTCTTGCACTCAATCTTTGTCTTCACGAAACCTTTTACGCCACTCGAAAACACGACTTTTTGAAAATGCCTTGCCTGCATATGCTTGCTTAATCATGTTCCACGTTTCAGTAGGTGTTTTTCCGAACTTAACGCAGAACTTAATGTTCACTCTTTGCCTCATAATCAGCACCATTGCGACAACAATCCGAACAATGTGTTGCCAAACGCAGCCCTGCCACTTAGTAAGTTTGCGCGAAAACATGGCCAAGGTCATGTCAGTAAAAATACATATCAGGTAACATAAAAACAACATTTGTTCCTTTTTAGTACTGCAAGCTCAGAAGTAAAAAGAAAATTGTCCTGGAACTTTTCTGACAAAGGATGTACGTAAAACTTTATATTAAAGGCAATTTTTCCTAATATTAAAATTCAAACTGACATGTTGCTGCGCTATTTTTAATGCTATTTCGCTTTCCTCATTGAAGGTCAATTGTAAAGTGTGTTTGGCAATTAAAAAAATCCCTCGCGACTTATTAATTGTTCATTAAAATTTTTTTTGGATTGTGTAACAGGAAAATTTGCTTCTGCTTAGTAAAACATTTTATCAATGCCTTTATATAGATCATACATTTTTGACATACCTACAGTTTTAATTTACCACTAGTTTTTGTGTCATTTGATTTTAGATCATCAGTTTATCCTTTTGATCAGTATTATATGATGATTAAGCATTAAGAATATGATGTATTATTGTTGAGCTTTTTTAAGATGACGGCTTTTTTTTGGGGGGGGGGATAAAGAGCGCTGTTTGGGTCGGATGCAACAACATAGTGAAATTTAGGATGCCCTGAAAGAGTATTCCTCATTCTCTTTCAGAAAAATAATTGAAAATGTAAATACTTGGCCGTGTGGGCAATTTAGTGTCAGTGTGTGTCGCATAATATTTCTTTCGGCTATTGGTCAGCCGTAGTCTCCTGAGCCTGGCTTCCTGTATATACGACCTCTGTCTCATCCATTGATCCCAATACTTTCTGACAGCAAAGTCAGAACGGCCTAAGTGGCAGGCTATTCACCGACTTGACCGCTTGCCTTCTGTTCATCCCAATGACTCTTTCGCTCTCAGTCTCTAACAGCTGATCATATTGTCTTTGCAATATGATATCAGAGTACGGTGTAACTGCATCTTAAGCGGAAAAGTGTTCCTCTACAACAATTTTAAAACAGGCAAGATGGCTCTGCGTGCTCTTTCTTCTCCAGTGGAGAACAAAGTTCAGTGCTCTTTGGCGGCAATATACAATGCATAATCATGTAATTTGCATATACGCCGGCACGGACTTTCATGCCCAGTTTCATTACGATCAGACAATAACTTGTTGGTGCACAAATTCTTATGACTACGTAATAACACTTACTATAACTGTTTCAGACTACGTAATAGCAAGTTAATCACTCACTGATTAATAATTACTTTAAACCACATTACGCAGTCATTAATTAACATTACATTAAGCTAAGAACCATTGTACAGTCACTAATCAATAGCTATTTTAGACCAAATATCTACATGTTACTTAATAGTCCAACAGAGTAAGATCTTATTAGTAATTTTAGGTCAACTGGTAACCTCCGTTTTTAAATGTTGACTTATAAAAAATAAAATCAAAAACATGTACTTATTTGGCCCTTTAATAGAAATCGATAATTTGATGTATTTTAAATTGTCGTCACCACTATATGTTATTAATAAAGTATGCAGTTATGAAAATTAAGTATTTGCGCAATTAAATCCTTTATTGTTCATAACAACTAAACCTGCATTCATTCGAATTTTTCAATGCATATTTTTTTCCCATAGATTCTTTGTATAAGCCTTAGATTTAAATGATTCATCTTACAGTCATGGTGAATTATTGACAAGAGGTTGATAAGTGGAGCAGATTTCTTAAATAACTTTGTGATCTCATCTGCTTGGTTAACAATGCAATAAAACGAAAACACGTGCTTTGACTGCAGAATGTTTGTAACTGGTAAGGCATAAAAGTTAAAAAATCTTTTAATAGATTTCTTATTTATTTGTTTATTTGCTGTATGATGTTTTCTTTTGTGCTGTTTCAATCTCAGAGCGAGCTTTTAAATATCACTGCGTATAATTTGGATTATAATACGAGGAAACTACGATATATGAATCTTATACTATAAAGTATTTCTCCCACTTTCCTTTCGTGGTGTAGTGGCTCTGCATGCTGGACCGGTATTCCAGAGGTCCGTGGTTCGATTCCCGGCGAAAGCGGTTGCTAATTTTTTTTTTTCTCTCCGACTTCCAAAAATCCTAATGTCTCTACAGTGGCGCCCGAACTAAAAGGGTGTTGGATGAGGATATTCCCCTAAAAACCCCAGTCGCCCTTTAAAAGGGGGAGTATATAAGGTATTTCTCCCGCCTTCCTAGCGTGCGTTCGTGGTGTAGTGGTCAGCACACTGTAACAACTATATTTCAGAAGTCCGTGGTTCGATTCCCGGCGAAGGCGATTGCTAATTTTTCAATTCTCCTGCTTCCAGAAAAAAAAAAAAAAAAAACCCTAATGTCTCTACAATACATGCAACTTCTAACCTAAAAAGGAAACAAAAAAGGTTTAGTACATTCAAAGATATGCTTTACGGAACTTTTAACTGGTGCCTTTGGATCCCAAATATCCAAGAATTTCGCAAAGTTTCGCAAGGACTTTTCAAAGTAATTGGGTTTATTACTTCACCATTTTATTATGAAAACTATTATAAAATGGTAATGCTATTTCTTATTATCATGTGAGCTGTCATTTATGTCAGCTGTTAGCATTTCTCTTTCATTTGACAATAATAAATTTAATGAAATATTTGCATCTTCATCAAATGAAGTTTTCTCGCTTCGGCTATGATTCTCTAATTACTGTTTATGTTGTAAGCAGAAGTAAGGTAACGGCTATTAAAAAATTTCGAAGTATAAATTTGTACCTTCGTTGTTGTCGAATACACCGTTTTGCTATAAATACACACTGTGTCTATCTAATGTGCTTTATTTGAGCAACCATCGGTGGCAGATATATATTTTCAATTACCAGTAATTCTATATAATTACAATAATTCCAGTGAAAAGTTAAGTTTTCGGGATTTTTACAATACTGGTTTCTTTAACCCTCTGACCGTCACGGGTTTCGCTAAGAAAGCCCAAATTTCCGCAAACTGCCATGAGAAAGAAGTTTTTTTTTTTTTTTTTTTTTTTTAATAATTTTAATTTCAAAAGACTCTTAGTACTTTTTTTTTTACTTGCGTGTTTTGCCCTTTGGCACTACAACAAAGGGCGGGATGCCCCCTGCAGGTCTTTTATAAGGAAAACTGGTCGTATCCATGTTCCACATGCGGCCGAGCGGTAAAGTTGCTGAACACTGGTAGTTCGGTCCGAGGTTCGAATCCCGCGAACGGGCTGGCTTCATGGGCGTTTTCGTAGTTTTCCTCATGTGTAACGTGTATATGAGCCAGTTTTTCTTAGAAAGTCCTCCACGAAGGCATCCCTCCCTTTAGGCAGATAGCCCTAGTGTGCTTTGCCATAATCACACACACACCATGTTACACATAGGGGAAATCATGAAAACGCTCATGCAACCAGCCCGTTCGCCGAGACTCGAACCCGAACTACCAGTGTTCAGCGGCTTTTACCGCTCGGCCGCTGGCGGACCCTCTTAATACTTTAAAACTGGATTTATACACTTTTAATATATTTCCTTAATTTATTGAACATATTTCAAAATGCATTTATTTTACATTTTTACAGACATCACAAAAAATGTTCTAGGCCGTATATACGCGGCCTTGCCGGCCAGAGGGTTTTAAATAGGAAAAGACTGGAACATGCATATTTGTACACCAACGGTAGTGAAAATAAAGGCCAGGTACAGACTTTTGTGGACACGGAGTATAACTCTTTGGTTTATATTTGCTATGGTTAATAGATGTCCAGGATTAGCCAAGCAAGCTTGTATTTGTAACTTTCTCAAGCACTGGAAAAAATTCCTAATTTTTACATAAGTGGTTATAGAAACTGAGAAAGAAAAGTTATTTATAGTTGGATTCACAAAATCATGTGGATGATTTTGCAAAGACTAGAAGACATTTCCTGTTAAAATTGGGTAAATTTTGGGATCTTGAAAACTTGATTAGTGATTTCGTAAAATGCAATGACAATTTTGGTCAGGACGCTTTTCGAATTGTGTGTTTTCTGTACCGATTTCAACATCTGTGTTTACCCGAATTAATGATCTAAAGTGCTCAAAAATCTACCTGACATTCTTTATTTTACTAAATATGGCAACAAAAAATACAGTTGCTATGAAAAGTTAAATATAATTTTTTAAATTTTTCTTATTATGTAAGCTAATGTCACGTAAACTGCACATTGAGCAATGTAAAATTCTCACATATATAAAAGTACTAAATCAAAGAGAACAATAATATTTCTTCTTACTTTAAATCGGAAGTCGCTACTAATTACCTAAAATACACTGTAATAGAAACTGTGTTTGCTTACGTTTTTTGAAGTAACTGACTTCAGATGTACATTAATTAAAAATTATTCGAACTTTAATATAGCTCAAACAAGGTAGGACACTTTCTTAATATCCGTTATGCGTCCTTGATTATCTTTTTAAAACATAACAGTAATACGTAGTTATTTTGATAATATCATTTTGTAACCTAAGATATGTATAAATGGTTCAAACGTAAAGCTGAGGAAGACATAAATCCTAATGATGATAGCATATCTGGCATGTTAATAGTTAAAGAGATAAGCGTTGCAGAAAACATTCAAATATTCTGCAAAATCATACTTTAGTATTAACTGATTATCCGAGTTTCAGTTACCCACAGTTAAATTCAGGCAAAATAAATTTTTAATTAAAATAATATATCGTTTTTATTGCATTCCGGCCTTTTCTGATAATTCCTCATTCATGTGTTCCTTGATTGTGAATCCCTAGAGGAAATCAATCAGCATTGTTCAGTTCTTCTGGTAACTGGAGGCCTTAATATCGCTGCCTTCTCAAGGGCAAAGGAAATTTTACGAAACTAGCTTAAGACCCTCAAATAAAGGCCTCAACTTTTTAAGTCTCTTAATGGCCTCCTGGCCATATTCATTGTGTTTCAAAATGTTTACATGTAACGAAATCTCTAACAATTATCCCGAAATAAGACTTATAAGCATCGCAAATCTTTTCATTTGCTTTCATTAATTATTATTATTATTATTATTGCTACTCTTATCTTCATAAATTTACCTCGGACGTTGCAAACTGAGTCAGCCTGGTGCTGGTAGCCTCAAAACCGCATTTTGTTCACAAAAATTTGTTATACATATCTCATAAGCTGTTCATAAGACATACACTAACAGAAACGGGAAGTAAATCAAATATAACTGTGTATAGTCCTGCCTTTTCTTCAGCTCAGAACTATCAGATGCTAGTGTTGCTGAAGCAGCGCGGAATTAAAGAATAAAAATTTGGAAAAGTCGTTCTACTTATGGCAAAAGCAGAATTTAAAAATTGAAATGAATTTTTCCCATACTTACTAAAAATAAGATATTGGAAAATAACACAATAAAAATCATGTTATACAATGCAAGAATCCCAGACATACAAGATTCAAACAGTGAATGAAATAAATATTTTAACAATTCAAATAGATTTTATTGTTTTTAGTTAGTGTTAAACTCCTATTTGTTACAGATAAAGATTTGAAAACGTGCGTACATTGTCCCCAATCGAGGATGAATAAAGATAATTATTAAAAATGTACAGTGTCTCAAAAAAGTGATGGGACACTTGTGCTTTACAAAAGGAAACTGCAATAAAATAAATTTAAAAAACATGTAAAATTTTTTGTGGGTGTGTTTCATACTTAAATTTAGTAACAATTATTACATAACATACATTTTCTCAAAATATTAATTTAATAAAAATACAATTGTTTAGAACGGAGCAAAAAATGGCTCACATAAGTGATGGGACACTACGTACTATGCAACAAAAATCGTCTGAAGTAAGCAATAAAAATATCTTTTGGGGTATTTATTTTTACTCAAAAGCAATTGGCAATAATTTATAAAATCGTCTGCAGTATTTCTCTCCAGTTTGTTTTGGAATTTTTGTGTTTTTTAGCTCTGTGCAGCCATGAATGCTAAACGAAAAGAAACTTTGCCTGGAAATTCGAAAATTAGTTATTAATTTGCATATTGAACGTGGAAAATCTATTAGAGAAACTACTGAAACAGTTAACTTCAGTCATTCAACAGTTTTCAATATCATTAAACGATATAAAAAGAATCATATGATTCAGGATAAAAGAAGACCTGGCCGACCATCAAAGCTATCCAATGGAATAAAGCGCGAATTATCGTTCGAAATATTAAAAAAAATCCAAGAATGAGTGCTCCTAAAGTTGCTGCTGATTTACAAGCATTATATGGAGTAATTGTTAATTCCTGAGACTATTAGAAGAGTAATTCGATCTGCTGGATATCACGGTAGAGCAGCCAGGAAAAAATTCTTCGTAAGTGAAAAGAATAGAAAACTCAGACTGGCTTTCGCAAAATCCAACATAAATAAGAATTCTGATTACTGGAATGAAGTTATATTTGCTGATGAGAGTAAATTTAATATATTTGGTTCTGACGGTAGAATCTTGGTGTGGAGAAAACCCAGGGAAGAATTTCGCAAACAGAACTTGGTGCCAACAGTAAAACATGGTGGAGGAGGAGTTATGGTATGGGGGTGTATGTCGTCCGCTGGAGTTGGTAATCTTGTTTTTATTGACAGTATAATGGATCAGTACAAGTATATTGACATTTTAAATCAAAATTTGAAATCTTCAGCACGAAAAATTGAACCTTCATAACGATTTTAAATTCTACCAGGACAATGACCCCAAGCACAGTGCTTTGAACGTTAGACTCTGGCTGCTGTATAACTGTCCTGAAATAATAAAAACACCCCCCACAATC